TTTGGGCATAACACTCTTGGTAATACTATTTTGTATTTTCATCTCTCATTTTATTTGTAATCTTATATATGCACTCGGTTATCTAATGTTTTTCAAGGAATGGCCTGATGATGCTTATCCTCCTTGGGCACATGGACCTGGCTATGTTGTGTCAAGTGATATATCAAAATCTGTCAGCATGATGCACAAGAAAGGGCTTCTAAAGGTGCGGGAAGCAACCAATCTCTTAATTTCACCAACATCACACTGACTTTACTTTTGGCTGAAGTGTCCATATGTAGTTAACTGTATATTGAAATGGTAAGTTTAAACGTCAAGAAAATGTCAAAATGCAGATGTTTAAGCTTGAAGATGTTGCTATGGGGATCTGGATAGCCGAACTGAAGAAGAAAGGTCTGGAAGTTAGGTATGAGAATGAAGAGAGAATTTTTAACGAAGGCTGCAAAGACGGTTTTGTTATTGCGCACTATCAAGATCCTAGAGAGATGCTGTGTTTATGGCAGAAGCTACAAGAGAAGAAGCGTGCTTTATGTTGTGGCGACTAACCCCCATCACACTCCTAAGGTTTTTACAGTGTAAAAGGAAACAACACCCACCCTGAAATTTTGAAGGAAACAAGCTTAACAGGTAGTTGAATGCTTCTTGAATTATGACAGTAGTTATATCACACATATATTAGGCGAAGCAAGGGGGTCATGGTAGTTCACATGCATCCGTATCTACGATGATCTACGTGATTGTGACATACCGGAGCTTTGATAGTAATCCCACGTTTATTACAAGGAATGTCCAGATTGAGTTAAACCAATCTTTTTCATCTTCTGAATCAATCTGAACTGTTGTTGTATCCTTACAGTGGATGAGAACTGCATTAAAATGTATGTATATGAGATTTTGAGTAGAGAAGAGTTTACAGTGCCTGACTTGTGTATATATCGGCCTATGCATACATATGCCCTCCTTATTCCTAGTGCCTATAACTCAATAGATACCCACCTTTTCATACTTAGAGGTTGAATTATTGTACGAGTATAATTAATAAAAACTTCACTTTCCTTCTTTTGTTACTCTTTTCTGTATCATATCTCTATCATAAATATAATTACTCCGTGTGATTTTTATGCTCCGGCTATAGTTCAGTGCCCAAGGCCATTTGGAGTGGAGAGGTTTTAGGAGTCCAAAAGGCTAAAAATGGAATTTTTGGACTCCTAATTCCGGCTGTACCATACTAATGGTACAACCGAAATTTTTGCAATTAGTTCCTTAGGTTTGTTGTTCCTGATGCTTTTCTTCGATATCCTCTTCGATTACGAGTTACGACTCTCCCTGCTCTTTGGTTTGACTTTTACTTCATTTATCTTTTTTGTTTCCTTTGTTTCGTTCCTTTTCTCTTTTTTCTTTTCTTTTTTGATTGCTTCTACTTGTTGTCTTCTTCTTTTTTTTCTTTAACATTTTTTTTTACTTTATTTTTATTCAATTATAATGAAAATATATTATATAAAATATTATTTAATGTTTGGGTTTGTTTTTTCTTTTTCCAATCAACTTTCTAATTTCAATTTTTTAAATTTGTGCATTATAAAATATTTTAGGTATTAATGTTATGTTTTTGTATTTTTAAATTTTGAGATGAATATTTATTAGTTTAGTAAATATTGTGTGCTATTGTTAACATGAGTTTTGTTTTTTACTAAAATTAGTAGTGTAAAATAAATGTGCATTAGTAAATATTATAAAAACAAGAAGATTATATTTGTAAATCAATAACAAAAGACTATAAACTATTTTTAATAAAACGTTTTTATATTTCTCATTGTTATATATAATGAAAGTTTATTATATTGTTAATAACGAACTTGCTAGATGTACATATTATAGAAATGAGTTTTGTTATATTCGAATGAGTATAACGATCAAAAGAAATGAGCATAACAAATTAATATTTGAACACAATAGAAAATTCAAAGGTGCTTTTGAACTTTTTGGTGCTTATTTTGTAAGTTACGTATGCTCATCTAGTATTGTTTTATGCTCATTTAAAATTGTCACGTTAATGATATTTCAAAACTCTCATATGACATTAAATTCACACGAAAGTTGATTATAGACACTAGCGTAGACATGATACTCATTTGCAATCTTATAATACTCAGTAGAAGATATTTGATGCTCAATGGATCTCTTGATGCTCAACTAACAAAGTTTATTATTTTCATATCAATGCTCATTTTATAATTACATATGTTCATTTGGTACCAGTGTTGTGCTTATTTTAAAATGTCATATCAATGCTTATTTCAAAAGTATCGTATTACATTACATTCACATAATGACATTCTTAAGAGTTGATTATAGATATAATTTAGATTTTTTATAATAGAAAAAAAAGAAAAAGAAAGTGAATTAGAAGATATGAAACATGAATCACGATGCTCAATATTAACCTCATAATACTCAACATATATGTCTAATACTTATTAAAAGTGCATCAATGCTCATTTAGCCAAAGGCGCGAATAAGGCGAATTTCACTTAAATTAAGAATTTTTATAAAAGAAAAAAATAAGAAAAAGAAACGAACTTAGAAGATATGATGTTAAATATTATACTCTCAATACTCAAGAAAATAAGTTGAATGATCAACAAAAGTGTATTTATGCTCAACCAACTTGAGCAGAAGTTCTACCTCATGTAACATTCATATGGTCAGGGGCGGAACCAGAGGGGGGCGAGCCGGTGCTGGCGCCACCCCTTCGCCGGAGTTTTAGAGGTAGTAGTATTAGGTATCCCGGAAACCGCCAGCAAGCGCCCCGTCTTCTTCTTCGGCCAGACCTGCGCCCCGGCTATGCTGAGATCCACCCCCGTCTTCTTCTTCGGCCAAACCAGGTGAGGTGTGTTTTTTTTTTAATTAAATCATTTAGGCAAAACGACGTCGTTTGGTTAAGTGCACAGTAACGGCAGAAACGACGTCGTTCCTCTTGGAGTTGGAGTTGGGCACTTGGGCCGTTCGCCCGTTCCAGTCCGGCAGTCTTCGAGATCTCTTCGCACTTCGCCAATCGCAGGTCGAGATCTCTGCGGCTAACTGCCTTCATGTCTTCGCGACTTCGCCAATCGCAAATTCGCAGGTGAGCAGGGCTAGCCGCCAGGTCGAGTTCCGCAGGTGAGCAGATCGCAGTCGCAGACGGTCCCAGACTCCCAGGCTTCGAGTCCTCTGTCCGCCAGGCCCAGGCGCCAGTCCAGTCCTCTACGGCTCTACTCCTCTGTGCAAGTTTATTGATTCCTCAAGGTTTGATTTGAATTTATTTTGCAAGTTTATTTTGAGTGATGAGTGATGAGTCCTCTGTGCAATTATTTTGAGTCCTCTGTGCAATTATTTAATTTGAAATTGGACTGATGAGTGATGAATAGCTTTAAGGTTTGATTTTAATTTGCAAGTTTATTGATTCCTCAATACAATTGCTTTTTATAGTAATAATTGATTATAAGCTTGAATTGGTAAAACCCTAGACCGTATAAAATTGAAATTGAAAGTGCTTTAATTGTTTTAAATTTTAATTGATTATAAGTATTTAAGAATTTGAAATTGAAATCTTTTTTAACTTGTTAGGTTACTCATGCGATCATGTCTATTTTACAATTTGTAACACGAGAGGGTGGACCTTCTAGACGAGATAACGAAGAAAGTAGTAGAGAAAAACATCCTCGTGTCGAATTTGATCCAAATGATATTGTGTCTGATCCTGGATTACGTAAACCAATATTCAAGTATAATTCTTTTATTAGAGACCAGGTTATGAGAGAATATTTAACAAGAGGTCCGTGTAGACCGATTGGCCATGTATATCCTAAGAGAGTGTATGGTAAAGAAAAGAGAAGTTTTCAACCTGCTTGGTTTGAGAAATATCCATGGTTGGAGTATAGCATTTCAAAAGATGCTGCTTATTGCTTGTGGTGTTATCTTTTCAAAGATTCAAATAAAGGAAACCGAGTTGGAGAAGTTGCATTTACCGAGAAAGGGGTAAATAATTGGAAAAAAGCACTAGATATATTCAATACTCATGTTGGTGTGGTGGGTAGTGCTCACAATAATGCTAGAGTGAAACTTGAAACTTTTCAAAATCAAAGACAAAGTATCTCACATTTGATAAGTGCACATGGGCGGGAAATAGAAGCTGCGTATCGCATTCGTTTAACCACAATTTTGGATGTGATACGATTTCTGTTGAAGCAAGGTCTAGCATTTCGTGGTCATGATGAGTCATCTAGTTCTTTAAATAAAGGTAATTTCCTTGAATTACTAGAATGGTATAGTCAAAGAAATGAAGAGGTTGCTAATACATTGAATGAGAATGCTCCCGGAAATAATCAAATGACATCTCCAAAAATTCAAAAAGAATTAACTAATGCTTGTGCATTTGAAGTCACACGAGTTATTCTTGAAGATATTGGAGATAATTTATTTACTCTTATGGTTGATGAATGTAGAGATGTTTCAGTTAAGGAGCAAATGGGAGTTGTTTTGAGATATGTGGATAAACGTGGATATGTGATTGAACGTTTCCTTGGCATTGTGCATGTTACTGATACTTCTGCTATGTCTTTGAAAAGTGCTGTTGATGAGTTGTTTTCAAAGCATAAATTGTCTTTATCAAAACTCAGAGGTCAAGGATATGATGGCGCTTCAAATATGAGAGGTGAGTACAATGGATTAAATGCTCTCATATTGAAGGAAAATCCTTCAACAAGGTATGTGCATTGCTTTTCTCACCAACTTCAACTAGTTGTTGTTGCTGTTGCTAAGTCTAATCGAATTGTGTGTGACTTTTTCCAATATGTTATTATGCTTGTGAATGTCACTGGTGCTTCTTGTAAAAGAAAAGATAGACTTAGACAAATAGAGCATGACAGACTAGTTGAGAGTTTGGAGAAGGGAGAGATAGCAAGTGGGAAAGGGAAAAATCAAGAAGTAAGTTTGAGAAGACCGGAGGATACTCGTTGGGGGTCACACTACATAACTATTGTGCGTTTGATGTCTATGTGGACTTCGGTTTTAAAAGCACTTGAAAATGTGCATGATGATGGAGCTACCGAGGAGCGGGGTATGGCTTCAAGTTTAATCAACAAGATGGAGAATTATGAATTTGTCTTCGTTATGCATTTAATGATGTATTTGTTTGGAATTACTAATGAGTTGTCTCTTGCCTTGCAACAAAAAGATCAAAATATTGTTTTGGCAATCAACTTGATTGGGACAATGAAAGTTAGATTGCAAGAATTCCGAGATAATGGGTGGGAGAGTCTTTTAGAAGAAACAAATACATTTTGTGAAAAAGTCAACATCCCGATCTTAAACATGGAAGAAGAAGTACTAATTCGTGGGCGTAGTAGACGAAGCAGAAACACAACCACAAATTTGATTCACTTTCGCGGCGGAATCTTTTGTGAGGTATATGACTATGCCTTTTGATTATTTTTTAATATTAGTATTGTATTCCATTATTTTGATTATATTATTTTGTACTATGTATTAGGTTGTTGACAAGATGATTGTGGAGATGAATAATCGTTTTTCAGAGGCAAGTACTGAGTTACTTACTTGTATTGCATGTCTTGATCCAAGAAATTCTTTCTATCAATTTGACATTGATAAACTGATTCATATGGCTGAAATGTATGCGGAAGACTTTTCTTCTACCGATCGTTTTATGCTTAAGCAACAACTTGAGACATACATTCATGCCGTAAAGAGTCAAAGTCAATTTCATGCAATTGAAGATTTGGGAAGTCTTGCCAAACAAATGGTTGAAAGTGGCATGAATCTTGTGTTTTCTTTGGTATATCGTCTTATTGAGTTGGCGTTAGTTTTACCGGTTGCAACAGCTTCAGTTGAAAGAGTCTTTTCTGGCATGAAAATCATCAAGACTGATTTACGGAGTAGAATGGGAGATGAATGGATGAATGATAGTTTGGTGATCTACATGGAGAAGGAAATTTTTTCCAAGATTGAAAATGAAGCAATTTTGCAACGTTTTCAATGTATGCAAACACGCCGTACGCAATTGTCTAAATTGGCTTCTTCTTCTTCTTCTAACATTTAATTGTAATGTAATGTACCATTCTCACAAATTTTATATTATGTAAACTTTAATAGCAATTTATATTTTTGTATTTGGTAATACTTTTAGCTACCCCTTTGTTTTCGTTCTGGTTCCGCCCCTGCATATGGTTCCAATAGTTTACGGTTGTATTCCTTCATCCCAAATAAAGTCCAATTTACTCCTACATGTAAAACAGATCAAATTTATTGTGCTATGAAATTACAGTAAGAAGTAATACACTTCCATGCCATTTGAAGGTGAGAAGCACGAAAAGGGAAAACTGAAACCATCTGTTTGCGTCGCCAGAAGAGGAGCAAGAGGAAGAAAGCTTCGTGGGTGTGTTGCGGGACTGATTTTCACGCTGACCGCGGAGGAAGCGTGCCATCATCTCTTCGCCCCCTAAGCCACGGTGCTACTTGTCTCCAGAAAAAGAAGGCCGATCCGATGTGGGGTTAGCAACTGCAAGTCTTCCCTGCGTTTTCCGTCCCTGCATTCTCGTAAACTGAAAGTATTCATCGAGTTGGATGACATGTTTTATAAGAATGGGCCGGAGAATCGTTACTGTTGTCAAACTTTTTGGTAATTACAAAAATGACACCGTACAATGTACACCGTACAACCGATGTATGTTATACGAACTCGAGGTTGAGAGTGTGATTAACATAGGTTGGATTAACAGGGAAAAGAGAACCTTGGGTCACTGTATCATTTTTTTGAAAGGAAACCGATTATATTATACTATCTTCGTCCCATTAGAAGGTTCTCGTCCACTATTCTCATGGTCAACTTAAATCGTTTTTAATCTTTTACTTTATAAATCAAATTTTTATCAAATTTACATTTTTTTTTATCAGGCTTGTAGCGGTTTTAATGTAGTTTCTGAATATGTTAGTTTTATTTACTAAAAATAATTAGAGTGTGAGCAGGGATTAAGTTGTTTTATCGTTAGTCAAGCATCGTAAACCATTCACGGGAACCTTCTAGCGGGACGGAGGAGTATTAATCAAAGATCGCAACGTACTTCCCCTTTACAATGCCCAACCATCTCACACAAACCTCTAAAAGTACTATCTTCCCTACCTCGCCAAACCTTCTCTTGAGGCTCCGCATAGCCCAAAGGCCCCCCACTCTCCGGCTAGACTTAGAATAGACCACCCCCAAAAGAGCGAGACTATTTGCGAACCATGTGAGAGTTTCGAAGCTTTTAACGTCAAAACAAGCCTTATCGCTTCCACCAACAATAATATCCCAAAGCAAAAAAGAGAAGGTAAACCTCAACCTACCGCTAGAGTTCCAAACACAAACAAAAGTAACAAGAGTACCTTATTAAATTCCATAAGCTTCAGACCAGGGTCCATAAAAGGAAAAGCAGCAAAAATAAATAAAGTTCACATGGCCCTCGACCTTATTAAATTCCATAAGCTTCAGACCAGGGTCCCTCACTGCTGTGCCTGTAGCTCGCCTCCTCCCTGTTTTTTCCTTCGTTCTGAGCAATCTCCATATCTTCCCCGTTCAGATACTCTATTGAATTCTCCACACGCCTTCGTTTCTGCTCAATGTGTCCCCTCTCGTGTGATAAGAGCCCACCCTCCCCAGTACTTGGTCGCCTGCTGTTCTCTTTGTTTCCACTGGTAGGCTTGTTGTCAAATCTGATTCCTTTCCCCGCTGGAACAAGCCATTTATTTTCTTTCCACGGTTTTGCCCCTTTTGTGGCTCTAAGCCAAGGATCAAAAGGTTTTTCCCCAGAGACTTCGTAGCCCCGTTGTTTACGTGGGTCCATGTGTCATTAAAACTCATTTTTTTTTAATCCAATTTTTTCAAAAAAATATATCAAAATTCATTAATTTTTATGATCTTTCAAATGACACCAATATGTAATATATAAATGTTTTTTATTTTTTGAAATTTTAGGTGTTGTAGTTTTTTTTTGAGCCCAACAAAACACGAAACACAATTTTTTAATTCATGTAGGCTTCACAAATAACTGAATATTCCATAATTAAACTTTACTTGAACTAAGTCATTTTTTTTTAAATGAAAACATTAATTTACTTATAAAAATTAAATTAATTTTTTACTAAATTTATATGTAAAAAAATATGGTAAGTGTATTTTATTAACGGTGCTGGAATGCAAATAAATAGAATCCTAAGCACTGTTTTCATATAGACGAAGTCCATTTTAACAATTTGGCCTCTCAACCGCCGCAAATGGTCTAATATGCGTTGTTTTAACAACTAAAATCCATTCCAATTATTAATGACTCGTTTTATTTCACTCAGTTTTTTTGGGAATTCTGGTTTTAAAAGATATACTGACGTTATAGATTGTATAATGATCTTAATGGTGGTCATAAATATACTAATTATGTTAATTTGAAGACGGTCAACAAAAATAACGAAACTAAACGTTTTGTTATCATTTTTACATTTTTAGTTTCCAAAAACACAAAATCTGTAAAATCATATTGGTCAATGTTAATCCATATCTCATGGCAAATTATATCGTGGGATCCTCAAACCGTGCTCTATCACAAAACGTATCGTTTTAATTTTTTTTACATTGTTCGTTGTTCCAAATTGTTCCAAAAAAGGTAGAATCTCCCACCCCAGGAGCCCCCCACTCCGACCCGACAGGATGGTGGGAAGGTTAGTCACGGTGACTCAGTCAGCAGAATGACAGTAGGCTCATACACCCGTGCGCACCAGAGACCCAACCTTATTTCAGGTTCTGTGACCTCCACCCGGTCGCTGCGGGGATTCGAACCTTGGTACATTGTTCCAAATTTCCCACCACTCGACCAACTGAGCTAACCTTGGTCCATTGTTAATTTTTTTTACAAAACCTCCCTACTCCTCCTTATATGCGCATCCCGATCTTCTATACCCTCCGTAATCTTTACTCTGCATCTGCGCACATCCACATCTGCTCTACCTCCGTCATAGATGGCCGTCCAATCTTGTCGTTGCCCTTCCTAGTTCCAAATATCCAATCCTGAGTTCCCGTCTTTGTCCGTGCTGATGTGCCGCTGCAGTAATGATTGATGAAAATTGAAATGGTGAAGAAATTGGGGATTTTGAAAGGTTCAATTGAACCAATGGATTTTTTTTTCTTATCTGATGGAAGACATCTAATTTGAAGTTCTATTCCTACTTAAGAACTTCAATTTTTGGTCTGATGAATTGAGTGTTCAAGAGGCGCTCGATTTTTTCTTTCACCCTTCCTGTGATATCAAGAGACATCTGCCTCGGTGGTTTGTGCGGCACATCAAAGAAGAGGGAGGAACACCAGACATAGGCTTAACCATGTAAAGGAAATGCATTAACCGAGGATAGGACGAGTAGATTTATTTCAAGTTACATATTCACAAACACGATGTACATTTCAGCTTGGCTTAAGTTACTGCAATTTACATTTTCAACATTCTATCAAGTTACATTTCAATTAACCTGATTTACATTTTCTACTTTTCTCAAGTTATATTACGGATATTCTCGAGTTACATTGCTCCTTGCCTATAGTTACATGTTGTAACACATGATTTACATTTCATTGCAAGTTTCATTGTATACCACCTGAGAGAGTAAAACAAGTTACATTCCAGTGCATGAGTTACATTTGAATACATTGGATTTAAATTTCACAATGACGCGAGTTACATTTCAATACAAAGGTACATCACGAAAAAAATTGAGACAAATGTAAGGGTATTTTTCATGCGTTTTTTTTTTCAATTAAAGCTTAAATCTAAATGACACCATTTTATAGGTGGGAGTAGGATGCTCGTATTAAAACGCAAATGCTCCTTCAAACTTAATGTTTCAGTAATTAACTCTTCTGTCGATCTGTCAAAAAAAAAAACTTCTGTGGAAACACTAAATAAAAAACAAAAGAGTTTTTTGTAAAATATTACTCCGTACTACGTACTAATAAAAAAGTTGTGGACAAAATTGTGACTTAATAACTATTAGTGACTATAATTGCGTTAAAGTTACTATGATGTAAACTTTGAACATAATTATAGTCATTAAAAGCTACAAAGTCACATTTTTGTCTACCACCTTTTTGAAGTACTATTAATGATTTTTTCTCTAAAAACAATTGTAGTTGTTTCGTAAATGTGGACTGTTTTATACAAGTTTTGTTGGGGTTTAATACTCCCTTCGTCCCAAATTTATCTTCATAGTTACTATTCACACGGTAAATTCAAATTACTCTTAATCTTTTACTTTATATATCAAACTTTTATCAAACTTACATTTTCTTGATCAGACTTTGTAGCGGATTCAATGTAGTTTCTGAATATGTAAATTTAATTTACTAAAAATAATCTGAGTGTGAACAGGGATCATGTTGTTTTATCGTCAGTCAAGCATCGTAAACCGTACTACGAAGATAAATATGGGACGGAGGGAGTAAAATATTTATGTTTGATTTAATAAAGGGTAAGTTTCCGAAATAGGAGTAAATAAATTTTGGAATTTCAAAATAGGATTGCTATGTTTTTTTCTTCTTTCTGAAATAGGATTAACATGACAATATTTATTGCCATCTTGTAGTAGGCAATAAACATGACAGTATTTACTATCATTATCGACATTATTTTTCAATCATGGACAGTGAACACTAATATTTCAGGAAGAAAAATATAGGAGTTCTATTTTAGAATTCTAAATTCTGTTTACTCTTATAGTCTTATTTAGGACAATTTTCCTTTAACAAATGGTCAAACATAGATGAAATTGTAAAACTACAAAATGGGTTTCAAAAATTTTAAAGGGAGAAAATGTTTATAAAACTAAGAGATCTATTCAAGGAAATTGGAGCTAGGGGAAGCTCAGGCCTAAACCAGTTAAATCTGGATCTTGGCCGGTTCCGGTCCTAGGCCAATACCCGGTCTGGTTATATTTAATTTTTGTTTTCAAGCAAAAAAAATTGGCCATGTCGAGACTAGAACCGGGCTTTGAACCGCCTGGTCCGG